TTTTCGGTTTCTTGCTATTGCACATGTCGCAAAGGATTATGGTAATGCAGGAAATGTTATAAAAAWATTGACTGAAGGAAACTGAAGGACTTTTCACATTTGAACAGTATTCATAGTGAACTAAAAAGAAATGTAACGTAAATATGGCATTTTGTCTACTGAAATCCTTGAATTGGATAGCCTAAGTTAATATGTACAAGCMTAATATATAGCATGTATAAGATTTGAACATAATATAGATTATACTTAAACAGCTTTAAAGACTGTGTATTGACCTTTATAAGTCGATRTGATACGATGTCATCAAAATCCGACTGCTCTCCGAATTTAGTCCGAACCAAACATCGGATCCAAACCTTCAGTACGAAAACACTTACATTGGTGTCGTGTATAAACCGRTATTAGACGCTTTGATTTCTAGGTACTACATGTACGTACTAAGTGTGATGGGAGAGACTTTCATTGACAGGAAGGAGCGGCGAGTTATATWTTCCTCTAAACTTGTTTTCAACACTCGTTACGTCGAAAACTCGAAGTCGGTGGTGCATTTACACGGGGTCACAGGTGTTTGTCAAATGTGATCTCTACAATAAAGATGACTGCCATCAGCTATTAAAACTTGTTCCGTTAAAGTAATCTATATCTCACTAAAAATATGGTCTTTTAAAGAACTAGCAATTGTTTCTGCAAGTTTTTTTTTTTTTTTGCAAGTCCACACAAAGGCGACGACCACCAACACTACGCATTCAATGAACGATTCTTAATGAATTCTTACATCAGGTTTAATACATTTTGACGGGAAAGGACTTCTTGTTTTCACTCTCTGGTTTTCTAAACAATTTGCGAAAAAATATCAATAAAAGGTAAGATTTAAATAAGTAATTTAATGTGGAAAAATTCACTTCTCTTTTTACTTCTGTTAGTTGATCTAGTGGATTGGGATTTTATTCATTTTAAAGTGAATGTCGTGTGCGATTAATATCTGACCTAAAATTGCTAATATGTTGTTTATACTAAGCAATAACCATATTGGTTGAATGTCTCTTGTTTTATGTAGTATAAAATACAGTCCCGTTATCCTAAATAATACGGTTTACAAATCTGAAACAAAGATACCAGAGATATGTTTTCTTGGAAATCGGTCAAAAATGGCTGAAAAATGACCGTCACTTTTCCATCGATTGTTTTACTTTAATAAAAAACTTTAAGGACAACTTCAGCATTCTTTATTTTCATAATAAAAATATAATTATTTGTGTATTTTGTTTTTGGCTTTAAGGGAAATGGGAATGTAAATAAATAGGTCAACCAAGCGACCAGATCAGCAAGATGAAGCCTGTGCTACACTCTGGTGCATGGCTGTTTTGGCCTCTGCTTCTCCTCGTATCAGGTAAGATACCACAATATTCAAATCATTCTACAGCAGTAGAAAACAGCAGTAGTATGAGGATATACGTTATCGTTATTACACTGTATTGAATAATAAATTGAAACTTAGATGTGATTGGAACTTTGTTATATTGAATTTATGACTATATGGTATGTAAATTATTGTATGGTGTAAACAACACTTTTAGTTCGTATTGTATTTTTCTGATATTTTGTGTGTTTTTTGTTTGTTTGTTTTTCTAGGACTGTGTGAAGGGATACCCGTTCAAGGTAAGCACGTCCACCTGTAAGGTTGAACTTTACTGACCCCAATTGATGTATCTTGCCAAACTATGCAGATTTCACATGATTTAATAAAGAAATCTAAGTGTTTTACAAATTGTAATGAGGTCCCCTTCGAGAAATATCTCCTGCCTCACAGTTACTCCATCTGTGTTTGTATACTGTACACTCGCTGCTCTCGCCTGCCTCATGTTGATTTTCCTGATAACGGAGGATCACCAGCGCACTTTCAGAACAACCGTCTTGCTATAGAAGAAAATAACAACTTGTCCACACGATGCATCAAAGTTCTTTTGACGATGACAGTTCGCTTCAACACCTGTTCTACCTTTGAATTACGGTCTTCGTGGCATAAACTAATTTTACATGGTCTGTGACCGAGTCGGGACCAAAACCACCCACATACTWGTTTTTGTGCCTGCAGTCTGTGATCCGATGCCAAAATTCTGCCTTTGGGGCGTATCTTTTTGTATCCATGACTACATACCTCCCTTTATGCCTACTGGCTTGTGAAGTAGCAATAAAACTTCATTTGGTGCTGTTTCCATAACAATTGAAACTTTAGAGTTGTTAGCCTTATGCCCGACCCCACACTTGGAGAACCAGGCGATTTTTCCTTGTCATAACCCTATCCTTGGACCTATTAGAAAGGGTGGCTTTGCCAGGAGTAAAATACTCAGAATAGCTCGATGGGTCACAGGGATGGGCAAACAGCCCCACCACAACATGCTGACAATCCCATCACTGCTGATCACATGACCACTGTATAAAAGATATAATTGGTTGCGAATTATCACGTGTTATTGACAATKAAGTAGAAACGAGGATTTTACCATTATAGTGGTTGAAATAGAATTTGTTTTTTTTAGGATGCAAAAAGTCCGTGGATTCGCTATCACAAGAAGCACGTCTTGAAGCGCAAGCTCTAACMGACCCAGACGAGGATAAAATCTATCATGCCAGTAAAATCAATGACGTGTCATTTATGAACAAAAAATCATTGGTAACTCGCAACAAACAAACCAATGTTGACTGCGATGATACTGAAAAGACAGAAAAGAAAGAAAATATAATAGTGATTGACGTCAAGGCTGCTCCAAAATCAGAAATTATCAAATTAGACACGAAGCAAAAACCCGCCGTTGCGAAAAAATCGTCCACAATAGAATCATTGACAAATCARAAGATTAAGATTCAGTCGTTACAAGACAGCATACACACGAATCTTATTAAACTATTCCATCATCTAAAGCATAAACATGGCTCAAACACCGAAGAAGATCAAAAAGAAGTCAACGAAGCCAAGGAGGCATTGATTGCTGATGCAAAGGAAATGACAGCAATGGACCATGATCCTTCACCGGCTGAGAATTTCCTTAAGGGCCTAGACAATAATACTTTAATCAAATCACTGCTAAAGAGCAAATCAAAGGAAGCTATTAAATCTACTTCTACTAATGCGAATTCAGATGATGAAATCTCTCACAGTAARAAGCAAAGTACTACAGAAGCGCCAAACAGCAATGCGGAGTCTTCTGGCTCAAAAGAAAGTGATAGCAAAAGCAACGATCATGGCACGAAAGAAGAAACCGAGACWAGTGGWAACATGGAAAATAAGCTAACGAATGAKCATACCACAGCGAAGTTAGGAAAATTTACCGTCAATGATAAAGCAGAGACCAGCGTAACGAAGATTAAAGTAAAAGAAGTTAAAGAAGAATCGAAACCAAGTGATAGTAAACATGATCCCTACGCCGAGATAGCAGCCACTCCTGATAACGTGAAAATGCCACCAAATACAAAACTTCCAAAGGAGGATGCGTCMGTGGTTCCAGTTGGATTGCCAAAGCCAGGAGAGAACGAGGACGAGTACAAAGACGATGACAGAGAACGTGAGCCCGGCGTMAGTCGTGGTGGTACTGGCTCGTTTATGCCCGATCTGCCCTTACCAGGTAMAAARCTTTATGATTCTCTGTTTCKGARCGAATTCCCTCTTTATRTCCACACTAAYCACATCAAAAATATCCWGCCGTTTTTTAGTTAGAACAGTAATACATACTTGTTCGTTTTTGCAGGAGACTTTGGAGGACCATCTGAGGCCCCAGGACAAAATGGACAAAGTGATATGACTAATGCAGGTTCGTACGATTCACCCGAGATAATCAGGATATCATCACKAATGAATTCCATTTGTATCCCGAATGGTTATCGATTAAGTCCCGRATAAGCCGTGATGTTATGCTCAAAATTTATTCAAAGTGTTCCTGTACATTCCTGCCATTCATCCCATTGCGGAATGTGCACGCGGTGTATACGTAAAACCATTTCGTCCAGGTAGGTCAGTTGAGTTGCAGAAGTKTTAACCAAGAATGATTTTTGTAGGTACAGTCAATCCAGATCTATCAAACCAGAACATCTTGAAATCCATGCGTGCTGATGCTTTACAAGCTCAATTACAAGACCAGATCAAGSAGAAGGCTTATGAAGGACAATTGATGGGATTGGTTGAACGTGCATCAAGAATGAAAGGTGCATTGGGAAAGGATGGAGACATGATGGGAATGAACAACCAAGTACCAAATGGTGCCATGGGGATGACCGGAATGGGTGGTGGTATGGGCGGTGGAATGACAGGAATGGGCGGTGGAATGTTCGGCATGGGCGGCGGAATGGGWGGCGGAATGGGCGGCGGAATGGGCGGAGGCATTGGTGGAGGCATGGGCGGAAGCATGGTCGGAGGCATGGGCGGAATGGGTGGAGGTATGGGCGGAATGGGCGGTGGAATGACAGGTATGGGCGGCGGAATGGCAGCAATGGCAGGAATGGGAGGAGGAATGGGTGGAATGGGAGGAGGACAGGGAGGAATGGGCGGTGTAATGGGTGGTTTGGATGGACTAGGAGATGGTGCAGATGGAGTTGGTCCGGCAATTATGGGTGGAATGCGAGGTATGAATGGAATGGGTGGTATGGGAGGRATGGGCGGTATGCAAGGCATGAATGGTATGGGCGGTATGGGAGGAATGGGTGGTATGGGTGGTATGCGAAGTATGAATGGAATGGGAGCAATGGCATATGCGCGAAGTCCTGGCTATGGTATGTATGGTCCAGATGACAGGTATGATCGSGACAGCTACGATGAAGGGGATTCATATMGAAGAGAACCAAGCGACAATGAAGAATACGGATACGATGATGATCAGTCAGGACCATCAATGGCAGACGAGCATGCAACCGGCAGGAACCATGTACCAGAATATCCAGGSCCTCAGTCGGAAAGGAGATTGGTACGAGGCTATCGACGCAGTCTATACAATCCTCGATATTTTGATGACTTTAATCAACTTGAYGAGGACGAAGAAGATGAAGAAGACGAACGTAGAGGAATACCGAGGAGTAGAGCTCCTGATCCAGGTCGATATGAAGACATCGACTTTGATTCTGAAGATGGTGAACATTACTATAATGATAGAAAAACAGTCATTGCAAAGGTACAGAAGACACCCAAATCTAAGTCACTGAAGATATAGGCTATATGTTGAGTGATTAGCTGTGCTTCCGTTATCTGCTTGTGTGACTGAGTGATTACTTTCGTGACTAATTGAATCAGTTGCGTGGCTTGAAGCTCTTGCAGTACTCATTGCGTTTATAGAAACTGGCTCAAGATACTTGCGTGACAAGCTCGCCCAAAAGGACATCTGTGCTTCAATCCCTATTGGAAGCATGTTAAATGAATGCGAATATCGTAGTAAAGGGGATTCAAACAATGAATTATTTACCCCTATGTTTTTCGGCCGCAGCGAATACCGCGAGAACAATTAAAAGCGTGGTGAGAATAGTGTAACTAGCTTGATGAACTTTGTACAAATGTAAGTTATAAGTTGAATAGTTTTCAAAAACGTGTGTTATTGGAATAAAATCCCTGCGGCTTGATATTKCTCTCCTGTTTCTTTGTTACTATATCGCAGAGCATTTTATTTTTTTATTTTTGATTTTTTTTACTTTTGATTTTTTTTCCATCGGTTTGATTACTAGAGCGGATGTACATAACTCGTGAAACAAATGGTACTAATCACTACTAAAAAGGGTTGATTAGATAATAATAAACAATGGAGTTWGCTTAATTTAGTACTATTTTGTACCATTTAAGTTCACGGGTTATCGGTTCTTAGTACATCGGATATTAAACCATAATAATCATAGTTTTTATTTCGATACATTGTCTAATAAGACTTCATTTATTCCGATATGTATTGATGATACCTATACACTAAACTTGTTTTATAACTTGTCCGCACAGTTGCGTTTCCGTAAGATTTTCCGTATCATTTTTATCTCCCTTGAAGAAGGGAACAATACACGTAGATGAGGACTAAACGTATACTGCGTATGTCAAGTAGGTATCTGATAGACCCTGTTGCAAGGAGCATGAACAGTTCCTAATAAAGCGCCGATAAAACAGTCTTTYATCGTCAGTCAATAACATTGCTGTACTCTTTTTTGAAAAAGGACTTGTACCTTTTTTACATTATACACTTAACTCAACCCCCTCCCACCTTCCCGCTGCCACGACTACAATGTTGTAAGTGTTATTGTCAAATACACTGATGTACAGTGAATGCTGGCCTACGGAGTGATTTTCCATCTGGCTCGTTCTACATGGAACGTTCGATATATCCACCATTCCTGTAGCAAAATAGTACATTATATAAATGAGCTACATATTTTACTATCCACCAAACTATGGGCTATCACTAATCCTGAATTCTGATTGGCTAGTGAATTATGGTCTGTTTATGGTAGACCATGGTCATCCCAATAAAGCGAAAATAGTCGAAAAAATATCGAGTAGAATTGTTTGGGTCTTTTTTCAAATTTTCCCTATAGTTTGGTGGACACTAAAGCTAGTAATCCAATCGATCTCATGAACTACGAGTTGAGAGTCAAGTGGTATGGTTAAATTCTCTTCAACTCAGTTGAGAAACGTTTGGAGAATTCTCGTAGCAGTTTCTATGTTTATCTTCCGATCATCTTGAGATTCAAACGAGGCAAAGGCCCCGAAGCTTTTGCCATATTATGAATCGCGTTGAATAAATCCTTTTTCTGCTCCTCTAATGATTTTTGGCTGTTTTGTCCAGAGAGAATAGCTGCTGCCTTGTGTGAATGTTTCTGATATTCGTCTTGCATTGTATAAAAGCCACAAATTAGTTTATCGTAGACGGTTTTGTCTTCGGTCCACTCGTCCGGTTTATTCTTAAGGTGCTTCTTCCATGAACAAATCTTGTGAAGCCTTGTTGTCTTTCTAGTTCCTTTGAATGCTTTKGCAGAGCCGGCTAGAAATTTAATCACGCATTTAGAGAAAAAACAACCAACTAAGCTCAACTCTTCAATAATATTTCACGTCATCTAGTTGATTCATTTTTCCAGTTTTTGAATATATTTTCTTGTTATGACTCGCCCTCATCCAGGCACCAAATCTCCAAGAAGTATTACAAACACAAGAATGATCTATAACTGAACTTTGAATATACTTCATACAAATATTATTATTATCAATATTATCTTATTTTAATTCATTTTTTATTAGTTATGTATATATATATTTGCAAAGAGGTTGAAGTACAGCCTTTTGCAAAAATTATGAGAATTGTCTAAATATCTAAATATCATAATATCCATATCCATAACACGCGGGTTTGCTAGAATAATTCATTGTTGACATCGAGAAAATGTTCAGAACTACGGATAAGTCTGTCGCCAAAAAAAACCCTAAACTACAAAGACAAGGGACTAAGGGCATTGCGTGGGATTACCCATCATGCACTCGATATTATGATATTTAGATATTTCAACAATTCTCATAATTTTTGCAAAAGGCTGTATTCAAAGGAACGGGGCAAAGTGTTGGAAGCGAGGATGGAAGGAAGAACTTGTGATTATTTTTCAAACAACTTACGATTTTCTTTAGGTTTCCCAAGAAGTTCTCGTAATGTTTCTGCAACAAATGGAAGTGTAAATTTGTGRATCTTTATTGAAAGTTGCTTTCTGTTGGTTCGAAATCAAAGATGGACATTTTTTCTAATGTGAGAAAAGTGCGCAAAGTTTCTTGGATGMACATGGGCCTTGAACAGCTTTAATGATCAAAAAGAGTTGGACCTTCCTAGTATTATTGAATGGTGTTGGTGACATCCAACATTTCACATTTTAATAGCTTTCTTCACCAAGCCATAATCGTCATGACCGTACAATACATTAAGCATACTTACTTAATTCCCCTTTGCTTCCTTTGTCGGTAGTCACGTGCTTAGTATGATGCTTTTTTGCAGCTTTTGAAAAAGAAAAGTTTTACTACAATCAGTCAAATAATTAGCATGACCAAGATTCCACCCTGAGAAAGACAAAAAAGCAAACTGCAATTGCCGACATGTAGGAAATATTTTAAAAATGGGGAAAATTATGAGAAATGGTTTGGTGTTTTCGTTAAACATGGTGGCTGTGACGTAACGCTCAACCCAAGGCTATTAAAAATGGCGTCAATTTTCAAATGGCGCCATTTCTTTTTTTCTCTAAAAATAGCTATGACTGTTTATAAAAAAATGTATTAATCTCGAGAGTAATGCATTGCAATAAAAATTCAGTCTTAAGTATTTAAAACATTTACAGCAATTGAAGAAAAAAACTATTACATTTTTTGTATAGCGGTGAACAGTATGAGCTGACTAGAAGATTACGCTAATTTGTATTCTACTTTTAAATAAATGCATTCATTTTCATTGTAGAATCATACCTGACTGGTTTACTGCTATTGTCAATACAGCAATAAAGACAAATATAAGTTTGTTCATCTTTAGTATCTCTGTACACGGTCTACAAGTTAATCAAGAATCCGTGGTTAATTCAATGATCCGTTTAAGTGGCCGTATCAATTTGTCCATAGTCTAGCACCACAGCCACAAATAACCACACTCGACAGTTAATAACACTACAAAAGTCGATATGAAAATGTTATTGAACTCATTTGATTACGAAATTAAGTTTTCAGTGTTCGAACACAACGCGTTGATCGGAATCATTGAAAGGTAAAATATGAACTGGACATCAAATATGTAGTCTGTAAAAAAGACATCCTTCTTCTCGATTAATTTCTCTCACCTTTATGGACACATTTCTTTGGTTTAGTCTTAAGATAAATCAACCATTAAGCTGCAAGGAATTCGGAGTTTCAATATATGTTTTACTCTCGGTTGTCCAGTTTTTCGCTGGGTTAGGTTGCTGATCATTTGGTTGGATGACGTAATGTAGTGGAGCGTTCGCTTTTGGCAGGTCCCAGGGTTACGCTGCCTTAGCCTATCTCAAACACTTCAACTCAACCGTTTCTTATAGCTGGAAAACGAACTAGACAGTTTCAGTTACATTACCTGACACGAAACGGGTTTCATCATTATTGTGTTGTAAATGTACTGGAAGCAAGCATGCAAATATGGAACATTAGTGACTGGTTTATGAAATAAAAGAACTCCCTAAATATGAGACGAATATTTTCTATTGACTTTTTCTTTATAAGCCGTTCAACAAACATTTTGTCACTATACAAGTTTTGTGATGAATAAAGTTAATGTTAGACTACTTCCAAAAATCGCTTGCAAAGCAGGTAATGATTATTCTGAGGAAATAAGTGTTTTTCAGGAAAGCGGGACGTTTTGTTCACGTATTTCAGGCAGACGCGCTCCATACTAAACACGAAATTCAACAACCGAACTACGTATGCTTGTTATTTTTTATTTATTCATTTTTT